ATATACCTAAAAAAACACACCACAGCCCACATTCTCCACCAGTTATACCAACAACATCATTTAAATCCCAATATTTGCAGCACAAATGATAGAAACAACATTACTTAATTAAATATTTGCCCCAAATAGAGAAATAGTTTGAATCTGGTTTCAGAAGACTTGATTAACTGGTTGATTTCTCCTTCTTGTTTTCCTTTCTTGAAATAGATCCAACGCGTCACACAGACGAGCCTAAAATTCCTCTTGTTTCTCAACTGTAGAGTCACCAAAGGACTGTCGTGGCTGGATGGAGATGAAAGAAGGCATCACACCTCCACCTTCTTGCAGTAATTATTGCTGAACCTGAGAAACTCGATTATGATGTTCATGCAGGAGGAGCTGGGAGGGACTGAAGGGAGCAGCCAAGGATCCCACACATGCCGCCGGCGGAGAAGGTCGACATTGTTGTGAGGAAAGCAGCGTCAACGAAGGCCCAGAGGACAGAAAGTGAGAGCGAGACTCGAGCCACCAGCAGGAACAAAGACTGCAGTCTGTTTCTCAAGATGCCTGAGATTCAAACACTGCAGTCTTGTTGCCGTTCATGCATCCCCCACTCACACACACACACACACACATACTGTTCATGCTTTACTATATATAGAACATCCACTAACACAACCTGGCCTTTGAGCGTCGGTGCACACGCTTCATGTGAGATGTTTCAAACACCTGAGACACTTTTACCATGAAGTGAAAAGTCTCTTTTGCTGTTTCTGCTAAAAGTTCAGGCCACAGAATCAGCTTGACTTGAATGTATTTTAGATTCAGGATGAATTTCCACCACATTGGTTGTCGTGTGACATTAGAACTGCACCAATTACATTCATTACTTAGCAACTATTAAATTAACCATCAACCATTTTTCATTAAATGTGAATACTTCCTGGTTTCTTTCCTCCTCTAATGACAGTAACCTGAATATCAGTGGGTTGTGAACAAAACAAGATATTTGAGGACATAAATTTGAGCTTTGAGAAACACTAATGGACTTTTTTTTTTTTTTTTTTTTAATTTTCTGACATATTTTAAACCAAAAAACGAATCGATTAGTTAAGAAAATGATCATCAGATTCATTGATAATGAAAATACTT